ATAAATGGTGTGATTCTTCTCAAAGTTAGTCGTGTATGGAAGATAGCCGTGCATTTCAGATGATGTCAGTGGCGGATGTTTCAAAACGCGTCACCGATAAAGAATTACGATTTGGTTCATTGTTAGCCATAACGGCCATAAACACACTCGCGAACGCAATACCAATCGTTCATTTGAATGGTTTAGTGATAAACCTCTGTTCGGTTTATTGTCATCGTGTTGAGGCACTTAAGATTGACTTCAAGGGATGGCCAGAGTATATGAAATCGGTCTGGAATCAAAGTTCACAATGTTGGTTGCTTTTATTATTTCTCAATTTATCCATATAATTGGCTTATCATAGTGCATTAGCAATTCTAAGAAAGGTCTCTGAAGCATCGCCTTAAACATCTGATTTTCACAAAGTTTGTGAAAATTTGCACGATTCATTAAGGCGTATTATTTTCGAACAGCTGTCGCATTGTTTTGAACGTTAGTAAGTTGGAGTATTTCGCATTTCTTTATTCGATAAATATCTTTTTTTTTGAATTTGAATTAATTCGGTTTGATTTCATAGGTGCGTTCGTTTATTCGAATTGTTCATTGTCCATATCAAGTTATCATTACTATGTAAATTATTGTGACATTCACTTATCGTTGTTCAGTATCGGCGTAATTTGTCTGTTTCACTTCAGCGATTGAACGAAATGTCAATCTATCGCAGATCAATAACACAGCTGAATTATGGGCGAATGTCATAGCAGAATGTAAGAAGAAGTGAGTTTATTGAACATTATTCACTCGTGTGCATGTGAACGAACAAGTTGCAAAGAACTGACCGCATTCTTTGGCTTAATTAGATTTGTATAGAATTCAAAGCACAAAGCTGTAGAAAGCACTCAAACTCAATAGCATTTTGAGTTTGAGTGCTTTCTACAGCTTTGTTTGGGGGAGGAAATAGCATTTTACTGTATCTTCGTTTGAATCGTTGAGAGTAAAACGGAGATGAAGGCATTATATGGTGTGTTGTTCTAGTTTTATGGATCGATTACCGTTCCAACTTTGTTTCTATTTAAAATATACAGATGAACTGTTTGCTCAAAGAATAAGTTGCAGACAAAATTTGGGTAATAAATTCGATCGACTAGCATCGGCCGTGTTAATTGCATCTTTGATTGGCATTCGACGTGGTTTGGACAGAATCTATTTGGAAGAACGTGAAGCGCCAAAGCGTGGTGTTGATCACATCACACATAGACGCGCACTTCTCAATCAGTGTTCGCAACTGTTGAATAGCATCGATTTTGCGGTATGGTCCATCCTGACATTCAGTGGATATTCGTTAATTTAGAAATATTCAATTCATTTATTTATACATTAATTTGTATCGATATTTCCCTTATTATCGTCTGAACCAAGGATTACTAGTATCAGAATTCTTTCTCAAGTTATTTTCACTATAACTTTCCATAAACGGTTTTGAATTCAGAACAATAATAGTAATCATAAACAGTCCGAGGAGCATTTCACTGTGTTACATTAAAAATTGCATCATTATTTCTTTACATTAATTTGACTCACAGTCAGTATTCTTATAGGGACATCCATTGAAATTTGAATTGAACGATCTATGGGATGGACGTCTTATCATGTGCATTTATAATGAAATTGAATCTTCTCGAAAGGTTTTTATTTTGTTGTTTGTAATCTGTGAATTTGATCGCACTCAGAGCAAAGTTATTATTAAGTCATTTGATCATAAAGATATTATCAGTTAAAAGAAATATCAATTATTGAGAGGCGAAATTTATTCATTCAGAAGGAATATTTTAATTATGTTTAATAGTGATGTTCATTACATGATTGTTGTTGAATAGTTAAAATATGTTGGATTCGAAGGCGATTATTTAATGATATTGTTGGCGTCAAAATAATTGTGCGTATGAAAGAGTAATAAGATTACAGATCTCTCCATATCGCATTCAAAGCGACTTAGCGCCACTGCATAAAATGGCAAATTTGGAGTGCTCATTAGAGGTTGATATGGACGATCGACTTTTCGATGCAAAACAAGAGAAGAGACGTCTGATTGATGATATGCGTTTACTGCCTATTTCGAGTGATATTCTCCATAAATATGCTCGCGAGTGGATGGAAATTGTCGATAAGAATTCGACTGCTAAAGTTAGCGAACCCTGCTGTTGTATTTGCACTTTGCATTGCTCATTCTCATAGTTTCGATACATTCGTCATTTTCTTGGTATCGATCCCATCACTGAATTTTGGATTGGAACTGAATTTTGCAGGAGAATAAAATATTCGAGCTCTTTAATGATGTGGCCAAATGGCCATTCCATAAGATCGAAGAGGAATACGCATCACCAACTGATAAGTCGGAGGATGATTTTCGTACAAAGAAACGTCTCGATAAGCAACGTCAGCTTTTATATCGATGGTATAAGTTTGAGGGTTTATTTTTATGACTTGCAGATGAGATAGATGCCTGGGTGAATGAATGAAAACATAGTTAGTTAATGTCGACACTCCACTGCAGTGAATGAATTCTTTTGCAAGGCATTGATTGCGCTTGCTGTGCACTTTTTGTTGTGAATGGTTTTTACTTGCTGGTGTTTCGAAAGTTCAGTCTAAATCTTGCAAGCACATCATAAGATTTCATTGTAGTAGATAATTTTTCAATGAATGATCGTTTAGTTTTCCTGATTATTCCGCTGAATGAAAATTTGTCAGCAGAGAATCTTACAGCAAGGAATAAATTGTATTTTGGTATTTTGCTTTCTAACAAATTTTGTATTTAAGGTTTGAAATATTTGCACAGTCATTGGAAGGACGTGGTAGTGATCTGCTGGTAGATTTCTCAAGAACACCTCGTGGTTTTGCGGCACCTGAAGAAGTGATGAACGGTACGAAGAAGAAGGAAAAACAACATTGGGAACAGAAGGGCAAAGGTGCGTTTGGTACTCTTCTTCTAAAATGAATGATTCTTCGATGCTNACAATTTAATTCCCGTATCAGATTTCTCGTCATAAATCCGATCTTCTGTGCATAAATCAAATTTGCGGTCATTGGTCTGCCACAGTCGCCCAGTTCATCGATTCTCATTAGCGTCTTAATAATTGTCATTTTAGGTGGTGGTGGTAAGGCCAAGAAAGGGACAGGCCCATCGAAGAAGGAGCTAATTTTGGAGACGAATAAGAATAAAAAAAGTGAAAAATTGGTTGAAACCGAGAAGCAAATGGTTCATTTTGCAACAATGCAAGGCAAAAACGTAACTGCTTAAATGTTTGCTTTATGATTCCGTTACATTTCTGAGCCAATCGTTTAATTATGTCACTGATCAGAATCAAATATGCAATCAGTTTAGATTTAGTCTGTGAAAACACGACCTGTAATCACTGTTTACTGTCGTTTTAGCAATACTAACTGTCATTTCCTTCTGTTTCTGCGGAAGGTAGATTTTCAGTGAGTAGCTATCAACTGTCATAATTGCTTTGTTTGATCACTTATTTATTGATTTAAGGCAATAGCGTTATTGGAGAACTTGATGTTTAAATTAGAATTGGATGAATCTCGTTCACAGTGCATTTACGAGCAAATGATACGTATTGCCAAGGAATTGAGCGCACTCGAAGGTGCATCGTTCCTGGAACAAAGACGTATCAAAGCCGTTATTTTAGTGGATAAAATCAAAAATCTCTTAACAGTACACTGGAATTATCTCAATGAACAGCAGAAGAATGTGGTCGGTATTATTTATTAATGTTTATGATATTACGATAGTATTATTTATATTTATGATATTAGTATGTTTTGGTTGAATTATCAGAAGAATCACCGCAAAATTAAATTTACCAACACGACATAATGTAGCGTTTTCGTTACGTATCTCATGCATTCTTAATTTAAGTAAACTTAATTGTGCGTAAAGCCTGATGTTATTCTGTTGATTCGTTACGATATTGTCAGTGTTCTGATATCGGAATTGATTATAAATTATCCTAATTTCTTAGGTGAATGATTTATTGGTACAACTCGGTTTTGATACCAATAAAAAACGCCCAACGAATGACCAGAATAGATTATCTTTGAATATGAACTTGATCTATTATCAATTGGTATACGGTGGTGAAATAATCGATATTTTGTGCGATCCGCAAAGAGACAGTCGTGTCACTGGATTTCGTCCTGACGCCTGGCAAAGAGAGATGCTCAGTGCTGTGGACAGAAGTAATTTGACTCATTTTTGATTCATCCGTTGGATTCGTTTATTTGGCCTTTTGATAAATAGTTGTGAGGTAGGCAGGCAGTAAGGTGATATAAGATCTTAATAATCCTATGAACGTTCCAGCAAATTCTTTGATTTGTTCGATGAGCAACTCCTTTTCGTGTTCATTTGAGTGTGAGTAATCATTTTGAAGTGAATAACTTTCAGACTATTCGGCAGTGATAATCGCTCCGACGTCCGCTGGTAAAACGTTCGTTTCGTATTATTGCATTGAGCGTGTTTTGCGACAGAGCGATGACGACATGGTCGTTTATGTGTCACCTTCGAAGGCGTTACTTAATCAGGTTTGTTGGGATCATACAAAGCAGTTTATGGCGTAGCCAGGATTTTTCCCAGCGAAGGGGAAGCACACAATAGTCTGCTAAAAAATATGGCCCAATTTTGGGGTGTATTTTCCCATTTTATTTTTTTATCTCTCCTCTTTCTCCATCTCTGTCCCTCTGCTTTTTGCCTCTCTTCCACCCTATGGGGGAGTGGGAGGGGTGTGAACTCCTGCACTCTCCCTCTTCGTTGGATACGCCACTGAAAGAAATATTCATTGTTGTAATTGATGCTATCACTATTGTTTTTATTAATTAGTCTTATTTTGAGTTTATTGTTATTGATATCGAGTTAGTAGGTTGCTACATTATGTGTCAGCTCTATTTTAGCTTGCTAGTTGACGAATGAGATTGATCTCATTTTGTTCTGGAATAAGAAGTTACTGAGCAAATAACTGAAAACATCTTCATAGCGATGAGTTGAGATTTCCTTCCAATCGATGAACGAATAATTTTCACATTGTTTATTCAAAGCAATGCTTATTAAAGGTTTGTGGATCAGTGTATGCACGTTTCCGCAATAAATCGCTAAGTGGCGGCAAATCGTTATTCGGTACACTAACGCACGAGTTCGCGAGCAATCCACTGAACTGTCAGGTTGTTTGCTTTATATTATGAACAGGCGCTTTTCTTATGTGGTGTTGGATATTTATAATGCGAAATGTTGTTTAAGGTACTGATCACTGTGCCAGAATGTCTCGAAGAATTGTTGGTGTCATGCAATCCAACTGTACAAGCAGTTGTCAACAAAATAAAATACGTTATCTTTGATGAGGTAATTCCAACTTTTCATTATATCCGACCGAAACTT